TTAGTAGAGACGGGGTTTCACCATGTTGACCAGGATGGTCTCGATCTCTTGACCTCGTGATCCACCCGCCTCGGCCTCCCAAAGTGCTGGGATTATAGGCGTGAGCCACCGCGCCCGGCCTCCTGGTTTCATTTTAAAAATGAATAAAGAACCACTCCACCCTAATAACATAGTTGCATTTCTGGAAGGTAAGCATTGAATTTTTAAATGTTCATACAAGCATGTACAGATATCTGTATAAATTTTTTAAAACATGAATGCAATCATATGGTATATTCTGCAACTTGCTTTTTCCCCACTTACAACATATCTTGGACGTGTTTCCCACTGTTTCACATAGATTGATCTCATTCTTTTAAATACCTACATGTTTCATTTAGGGATGCCCTATATGGATGTGTATGTATATGTGTGTATAGATACATTTTTAAAATCCTTTGGCTTTTTAAAGAGACTGGGTTTCAATCTTGTCACCCTGGCTGGAGTGCAGTGGCACGATCTCAGCTCACTACAACCTCAACTTCCCAGGTGCAAGTGATCTTCCCACCTGAGCCTCCTGAGTAGCTAGGACTACAGGTGCACATCACCATGCCCAGCTAATTTTTTAAAAAACAATCTTTGTAGGCCAGGCACAGTGGCTCATGCCTGTAATCCCAGCACTTTGCGAGGCCAGGCCGGTGGATCACCTGAGGTCAGGAGTTTGAGAGCAGCTTGGCCAACATGACGAAACCCTGTCTCTACTGAAAATGCAAAAATTAGCCGGGAATGGTGGTGCATGCCTGTAATCCCAGCTACTCTGGTGGCTGAGGCAGGAGACTTCCTTGAACCTGGGAGGTGGAGGTTGCAGTGAGCTGAGATTGTGCCATTGCACTCCAGGCTGGGCAACAAGAGAGAAACTCTGTCTCAAAAAAAAAAAAAAGGCCAGGTGTGGTGGCTCACGCCTGTAATCCTAGCACTTTGGGAGGCCGAGATGGTGGATCACCTGAGGTCAGGAGTTCAAAACCAGCTTGGCCATCATGGTGAAACCCCATCTTTTTAAAAAAAATTTTTTTAAAAAGTTTGTAGAGGCAGTAGTATCACTATGTTGCCCAGGATGTGGATGTCCAATACTTAACTTGTCCTTATTGATGGACAAATAGGTTGATGATTATTTTTCTGCTATAAATAATACCTTAGTGAAACTTGCACACTTCCATGAGTGAGTGTTTAATAAATTCCAAGAATTACCTGATTGAAGATTTGCATTTAAAGTTTTGATTGGTAGTGTCAAATTGTCCTTTTCAAAGTGTGAATTTTTATTTTCACAACACTGTTTTAATGACCTGTTTTCAGTTTCTTATCATGGAATGAGTTTCTTAAAAGCAAAGACAACTTCTTTTTTTTACCTCTCAATATCCCTGATAAGGAAAAAAAAAAAAAAAGGAAATATCCCTGACAGCATGCACATTGATGTGTGTGTGTGTGTGTGTGTGTGTATTTAGGAGTTTGACCATGGTGAAGGTAAGGACCTAAGGAAAATAGAAGATGAAATTAGAAAGGTAGGTAGGAGCCAGATTGATGAGTAGCCTTAATGTCAGATTAAAGAATTGAACTTGGCCAGCATGGTGGCTCATGCCTGTAATCCAGGCAATTTGGGAGGCCGGAGCAGCTGGATAACTTGAGGTCACAAGTTCAAGACCAGCCTGGCCAACATGGTGAAACCCTGCCTCTATTAAAAATACAAAAATTAGTCTGGCATGGTGGCGGGTGTCTGTAGTCCATGTTACTCGGGAGGCTGAGGCAGGTGAATTACTTAAGCCTGGAAGGCGGAAGTTGCAGTGAGCCAAGATCACAGCATTGCACTCTAGCCTGGGCAGCAGAGCAAGACTCTGTCTCAAAAACAAAAACAACCTCTCTGCCTCCCCCAAAAAAATTGAAGTTAGTGCTACAAGCAGCATGACTATAAAAGATTAAAGGGAAGGCCAGGCATGGTGTCTGATGCCTGTAATCCCAGCACTTTGGGAGGCCAAGGTGGGCAGATCACTTGAGGTCAAGAGTTTAAAACCAGCCTGAGGAACATGGTGAAACCTGATCTCTACTAAAAATACAAAAATTAGCCAGGTGTAGTAGTGGGCATCTGTAATCCTAGCTACTCAGAAGGCTAAGGCAAGAGAACTGCTTGAACCCAGGAGGCAGAGGTTGCAGTGAGCCAAGATTGTGCCGTTGCACTGCAGCCTGGGGGACAGAGCAAGACCCTGTCTC